AAAAAAAAAAAAAAATTTCTTGTGCATCTATGTAAAAAGTTATGACGGAATATATGTGAGACTCGAGTTAGTCCAATGAGTTTTGTCCGACACTGTCTATTTTTCTTATTCCACAGTATATACTTGTATTTTCTTTTCCTTGGAAACTTATTTCCTCACATAATATACAGTTATGGACAATAAAATAGAATCAAAGGTGTTGCTTTGAAACAATGACAGATTTTTTTTTTGAAATKTTTCATTTATGTAGTAATTTTTTTGCATAATAACAAAGGCAATAATATGTACTTTTAAAAAAGAGGAAAAGGTAGCATTGTCGAGTTTTACAGTTAACTGTAAWTTAAGAAGTGTAAATGGGTCACGCGTAAGGGCAAATTGCAAAAATATGAAATTTGACTCAAATATTTGCGTGTGATGCCTTAAAATTTCCGAAATAAGGTTGAAAAGATAGTCGGACTACAAATAAATTACTGTTCAAGTCGTTGGAAATATTGCATAATTGCCGATGCACATACAATTTAAGGCCTCAGCAGCCATTCAATAAGAATTTTGTGCAAAAATTTCTTCAAAGGTGCCAATGCTGAGAAAACACATAGATGGAATTCAGTTTGCAAAACGACACATTAATTGGCGGAGCTGAAAATAAAGAAAAAATGGTTCGACATTTTATGAGTGAGTTCGACGTCCAAAAAACAAAGAAATGTGCGTCTGCTACACGACTAGGTCCTCCAAACCCTTTGGGGGTAATGGATTAGGAATATTATAATGAGGGACCTATTTTTTTTTGGATACAAGAGAACATAGACCGCCATATATACGTTAAAGTTTTCGATAAGCCATACTTCCATATGCTGAATAGAATTCTCCTTGCATTTTGGCAATTCCAACAAGAGAACGACCCGAAAAATACTTCGGGTCCTGCAGAAAATGGTTTTCAGATAGCGTGGTAGCGTTATGGCATAGCCAGAGTTAACAACAGATCTGAATCTCATCAAAAACTTTTGGTTAATTTGGTATTGCATCCCTTAAACCGAATAATAAGGCAGAATTCTGAGAGAAGGTAAATAGGTCTTTTATTCCGTTCCACAGAACACTTTCGGTAGCATAATTAGGTCCATGCCTAGAAGATGTGAGAATTTACGCATTGAAGTAAAAAACAGCAAATAGAAATTCACAAATAATTAGTATTATTTGAAAAACTTGAACTCCCTCTAAAATGGCTGGGTCACCCAAATTGCACATTTTGTAGAAAGTGAAAATTTGTTTGCAAAAAAATTATAAGGAGTGAAGTTTTATTACTAATTAAGGTTGGCTACGATAAAGTTATTTAATTAGAGTGGAAATGGACCGTGGTAAGCACACAATATGAAGAAATCCGGGAAAGCTGTTCATAAATTGCTGTTTTATTGAATTTTTCCCGGAAAACGGTTTATTATGGTTTTATACTCGTAAAAACTAACGAGATATATTGACAAAAAAAAAAAACCTACAACCACCGCGAAAGACCACAATTGCTGAAGATAACGTCATGGTCTGGAGAAGTAGTTCCAACCCTTTTAAGTCTTCATGACAAATAATGCAGGAAATGAAGAATATGGATTAAATATATCGTAGAAGTCTGTGGCTGCCCGAGTCAAAGAAAGCCACTTCTGTCAAAGCGGCACATCAAAATCGGCTAAGTTTCGCGAAAACAAATAGGAATAAAACMCTTAATTTGTGAGAAATGTACTATGAATGAATGAAACGTAAATTAATAAAAATGGTCCTGATAGGAAAAGTAATGTTCGTCGTCCTAAAGGTCAATCGGTGAATTCCAAGTACACAAAAAATACGATAAAATATGCAGGCGGAAATATGATGATATGGGGTGACTTTTCCTACCATGGCGTGGGCCCAATTATTCCAATTTAGGGAAAAATGGATCGGTATCAATATTGAGACATATTAAGAATGGAAACATTTGCTTTCAATTGCATGGCTTAAGAAAGAAAAAATTAATGTTTTAGATTAGCCAATATTAAGTCCTGACCTTAATCCAATAGAAAACTTATGTAGCGATGTTAACCTTAAAATTGCTGCTAAAAATTTAAAAAATTTTGAGGATTTATGGGAAGGTATTAAGGAAGCTTGGTACTCCATCCCAAAGATGAGATGCGAGAGACTTGTAGAAAGTATGGTATGCGGATGTGATGCTATAACACCAAATCGTTGATTAAATTTCACTAATTTCACATGATTTTGCATGTTTGGCAAAATTTGTTATTTAAGTGACCAAGACATTTTAGAGGGAGTTCAAGTTTTTCATTTAATACTAATTATTTGTGAATTGCTATTTGGCTTTTTTACTCTAATGAATAAATTAATAAACAAGTAATCATATTTTATTATCGTTTGGATCTTTGTCAATCGTATTAGTGCTTATTGCTTCCTATGACTAAGTGTGCTATTTGCGTGACCACGGCTTTATGTATATTTTACACTTTATGCTTTAATTTGTTTTTATAAACCACCCGATGACTTGATTGTTATTATTTTAAGTTCCATCGGTGTTTTTTGGACAAAATTTCGATTTCTTTGGCACCGCAATCTGAAGGTACCGTGGGAAAGAAGATGTCCTCCTGATTAAAAAATATATAGTGTTATAGGTACCGCAAACGCGAGTTTACGAGATATTTGACTTTAAAATTAAAAAATTCCAAAAAACCCAACATCTTTTACACTACATTTAACATAATTTATTCACATTTATCCCTTCAAATTCATTAAACTGAATTGTAGAAGTTTACACAAATTCACATTTTACACTACTTGCTGGTTTTATATGTAAKAAATCTATATTTAAAAATTACTTTTTAAGCTTAGTATCCAGTTCTCAAGAAATGTAAAAACGTCATATAAAAAAACGCTTAACAAATGGTCAAGAATATTTCCTGCGGTAAATTTTCTTGTGTTAGTATGCTCTAAAGAAATCTAGTACTAATTTTTAATAAATTTTTATACATTTTAATTAACCAACAATTGTTTCTTGAAGGAAATTCAAWGTAATCGTTAAATTCATCCTAAATTAGTTAAAATCATTATTATGAAGTATAGTTCATTTTGGTAAAAACTTCCCAATTATCAAGAACATTCTTTAAACCGTGATGAGAATATTTATGTTACTACACACACACATGCATACATATTACACACATTGTTTATTTTCTTTGTTTATTCTCTCTTGATATCCTAATATGGATCGTTCACAATGCGTAACCAGCTGTCAAAATTACTTGAAGAAATAATGTATTCTTTTCTTGAGCAATTATTTAAGAGCTCGATACTTATCTTTGCACTTGACAAATACTATATGATTGTCTCTGCTTGATTCTGATGTGACGGTTGCTCAGGTAAGAGTCAACTAGATTGGTTAGATACTGTGCAAAGTGAAGTCTTATTTTGTGAAATAAGCCATATACCATACTCTATCGAACGCCTGGGATGCTCCAAGAAAAACGCTTTCTAATTGTGTTATTATTTTTTTTTTTCATTGCATCTTCGATTAGGCTCGTCATTCGATGAACGTGATCGATTTTGGAATGTTGAGGTCTAAGTCCAAATTGATTCAATTATGTTCTTGAGTCTTCTTATGGTTACATCTTCAAGAAGTTTGGACGAAATAGGCAACAGGTTTTTGTACCATAATGATTTCAGATACCTTCCATGACAATGGGGCGTATCTGAGATTTAAGTAAGCGTTTATTATCGTTTGTTTGGCTATTGCTTTTCGCGTTAGATTTTTTATTACAGGAGCAGACACCAAGTCGAAGCCGGTAAGTCTTTTTTTATTTTAAATCTAGTTTAAATGATATTTTCCACTTCTTTTGGTTTGATTTCACCTAAGTATTACGATTTTTCCAGCTACGGTAAAGTGCCCAGTACCATAAAATTGTAATATATACAAATGTTATATTACATTGATGTAAAATTTATAATATTATAATATACTTTTATAATTAAATTAATAAAATAAATTTTACTTATTTGTGTTTATTAAATATAAATGACGTATTATTCATATATATTGAAAAATATTGGAAAGAATTTTTTTATAGTTAATAAAGATAAAAAAACTCACCCGAAAGTACATATAAGGAAAACACTGTCGCTAAAAAATCCTTCATATTTGGTTTTTAAGATGTGGCTATGCTGGTTTTTTTTCATAATTTTAAATACACTAACTTTTTGATTGTAATAAAAAGGTAAAGATTTATAATTGACTTGAATTTTTAAGGGACTTGCGTTTCGAACGCTTACAATGAGAGMTGTGATCACTTCATCATTTCCTTTTTGTTCTCAATTTTCCAAGAATGTGGGGGTGGGGTGAGTTGTGTGGTGTCATCAAGGTGGTTGTTTATGTATGTCTGATGTGGATGCTAAGTAGTGATATGGTTAAATTGCTTATCCATATACAAACGAACATATTTAATAAATAAAAAATAAAATCTTATTATTTAAACATACATATGTATGTATGTATGTATTTTTATTCATACTTAGAACTAAATAAGTTAAGTATTTATTGTAAATACTTATATTTATAATAGATAACGCCTTTGGAAATATTCGGAGCGTACGCACATCTAAAACACGGCAGACGCGTCTTCCGTCTATCACAACATGATCGATCTGGGTTGGTGACTTCGCGATCCGGAGGCTTGATGAATTTTCTTATGCTGGAATGTAGTAGTACTACAGATAATAATATTTCGGGCCCCAGCGAAGTCGACCAGCCCCAACCCAATTGGGGATGTTTTCTCGTGTAGGGTGAATTTACAGACTCTCGTGCCTTCTTTGCCCACCCTGGCGTTAAAGTCGCCTAGCACGATTGCGATATCATGGCGGAGCGTGGGCATAAATCAACGATATATTGACGAACTTCGCTTTGATGCGAACTGTGGCTAGACGGGTGAATGAGCAGTACTCGGCGACGGAGTTTGACTCCCACCACGAATCCCACACCAAATTTGAGCTTTATATGACCACTGTAGTAAATGTCACAAGGATCTACTCGCCTCAGTCCTTGTCCCGTCCATTGCTGTTCTTGGATGGCCAATATCCCAATTAAAAGACCGGACATTCCAGGTATCGTAATCCCTAATTCGTTTGTCATGGTCGTCATCAAAAGAGGGTGTCGTTAATCTGAGGCTGGTCGCTAAATATTAAAAATTAAAAATATTAATATTTGCAAAACATACAATCAATTTTTGTGAGTGTATATGAATAGGGTTGTTAATCTCGATGTAATAAATGGTGGTTGATATTTCTGATGCATTGATGTTTTTATTCGACGCATCAATGTTAGTACAATATATACGTCACATGGTACCAGAGTCTGCTGTTTGCACGTTTTGTTTCGTAAATTGCAATTTAGAAAAATGATTCAAATTAAAAATTACATTAACATTAGGAAAATAGTAAGAATACATATATTTTAATGAATATGTTTAGTTAACATTTTGATGATTATTATTAGCATACGTACATGCACTTRTTTTTTTAAAATTGAATTTAGTACCCACAAGCTGTTAATTTCACATTATACAAAAATGTTTAAAGTCTTGATCCATATAAAATAAGAAAAAATTGTTTTCCTAAAATGCATTTGTTCCAAATAATAGATTATCTACCTTTTCCCCTTAACCCATAATTATTGTCATCCTCTTCTAATTTTTAAATTATTCAGGAACACAAACATGTGCTTCTATAGTCCGAACCTGTCCGGTTGACGCCTTTTTTGCAAATGAACATTTCATGGTAACCTATGCCCACACAAAAATTTTGCTTCCCTCAATGGCAATATATTTGGTATTTGGATTTTTAGGGTTAATACTATTTCAAACGCCAAGAGATCGACTTGGACGCTTCAGATAGTTCTGATGATACAATCTTTCTTGGTATGCGTACTGACCATCATAAGTTAGATCAAGAAAATTTAAAGATAAACGGAAATAATTTGTTAGATATGTCAGATGAGYTGTCTATATATTTGCGAACTCCAGTTAGAAAGCTAGCAGAAAATCCATTGGAAATTCGGAACGTTTTACCTACACAATTTCCTAAACTAGATAAAGTAACTTGCAAATACTTAACAATTGTTGCTACATAAGTTCCATCCAAACATTCATTTTCGAAACCTAATCAAACAATGAGCAAACTAAGAAATATAATAAAACATGAATTGTGAAAAGTTGAGAAAAATAATGTTTGGGTTTGTAAAAACTTAGATGGAATAAGTTTTGATGTAGTTTGTATTAGAGTATTTTTAAAAACTTAAACTACTAATTACTATGATTTTTAAATACTTTAATAAAAACTGTTAAAATTCAAATTAATATGGCAAAGAGGTATATATTGCAAAACATATGCAAATACATAAATGTAACTTAATTACTTTCAGAATAAGTAATACTTTYATTGATAGTGATATATTCAATGCATTATATAACATCGATGTCAAGTTTCGTTACATCATATCGAAAGCATTGATGTTTTGCCTTAGTAGGCATAGGTAATACATACCATATGTACTATTAGGAGCAAAAATAGCAGAGATATATACAATTTATGAAAATAGTAAGACTTTGTTATAATTTTAAAATTCTTAATTTATTCTTGAAAATCTATGTCGTTCACTCAAAGTAGTTATAATTCATTGTTTTACAGTCGTTAAAGCGACATTGTTTTTCGAAATATGTTTGTGATATACGAACCAATCGTAAGTTTAGCATATGTACGAATTTATGTAAAAAAAATAGCTGAGGACGCATTAAATTATATTTTAAATGTGTCATTTAGAGAGAAGAAACAAATTCACACAAAAAAAATAATTTGGATAAGTTGGATAAGTGGATATTATGAAGTTGAACAAAGAGCACTTTAATGCTTTTTGGGAAGACACTTCAGAAAAGTTAAACGCTATGGTTCCCTCGAAGAGAAGGTCCACTACACTTTCCTTTAATACATCAGTAGAGGGATTGAAAGGTATACAATGTTTTGGAACGGAATTTCTCCCTAGCCCCAGATGCGAAATGAAATATCATTTTACCGTGTAACCAGCAAATGAAACAAATCGAGATACTGATCACCTGAACCAAAGTACACCGCAAAAAAAAAAACAAAATAAACAAAATATGTCTACTTGAGGAGCAAATAAATATCCAAAAAAAGATGGAGGACAATGTTTTAAAAGTTCTAAACATGCTTATGAAGCAACAGAACGAACATACACAAGAACAGTCTGATAAAAACAGTTGGATTAGAAAACTTTCTGAGATTGAAAAAGATAATTGAGCTAAATAACACGATAAGTACAGTTAAACACGGCATCATGGTATGGGGTTTTATGTCAGCGGTGGGTGTTGGAAATCTCGTATTCATTGCGGAGATAAAAAGTAAAAAAGAATACCGAAGAATAAATTAAAAGAAAGCGCGCAAAAGCTAAACCTTGGGGATCACTTTTATTTTCAACAGGACAATGACCCCAAACACTGCTCATGGCGTGCGTATGTGGATCATATACAATTTATCTTATATTCTTCCGACTCCTCTACAGACTCCAAACCTAAATCCCATAGCACATTTGTGGGATGAACTCGGTAGGCGTGTGAGTAAGCAAAATATTATCCAGCAACTAAAGGAAGTTCTTCAACAAGAATGGCAAAATATAGAGCCAAGTGTGAAAAAAAATTAGTTTACTCTATGCAAAATAGACTGAAAGATGTATTGAAACAAAAGGGTATGCCCACCAAATTAATTTTTTTTATTATAAGTTTTCTTGTTAAACAAAAGTGTGTGAATAATTTTGTCCCTCACGAATGCTATTATAGTATTATACCATTTTTGTAGATTTATTTAAAATTTAAAATTTATTTATATTTAATAYTATTTGATAAATTATTGCTAGAACAAACCTATACCCTAGTGTTTATTATTTAAAAGATACAACTGTTTTTGTGATAAACTGAGTGATGTATGAAAAATTATGTCCGCAGTGCATATCATTCTTACAACATCTTCATTGGAATATACATTTTCAGTTGTATCCAGGTTTAACTCTTTTATGTTATCATATGTATTGTTAGTTCTCGTTCACTACAAAGACAATGAAATACCGATTTTAATAAACCTATTGTTTTCTCAATAACAAATCGGCCTTTAGCATGATATGTGCAAGTTATTGGTTCTTGAAACGGAGTTATGAGCCACGGTTGAAGGGTAGTCAAGGGTAGCCACGGGTAGTCTTTGTCACCTTTACAAAATATATATTCGATTAGTACATTCGTATAAACTTTTAGCATTTTTAGCAAATTATTCTTACCTAGTATTAAATATGAATGTCCTCTCCTATAATTTGACGTGCTAATGATTTTCAAATCCCTCATATCAAATATATTATATGAGAATCACGACTGCCGGGATACTTAGCACAAACGTATCGTATTTGCATCTTGTGGTCACAGGCCTATATATGAAAACATATACGTGTATATAGAATATTGAGTGAAAAGTTAATTTTGAAAAAGCCTAACTAATAACATCAGACTTGAGAATCGTTTGCGGTTAAAATACAGATGTTTATCTCTTGACGGTACCATTATCTTTATCATTGCCACACCATAAATTTTTGATTTTCCAACAAAATATGTTTTTGCTTCTAATACCTCGCTGGCGGTCATGTCAATGGAATCTTGAACATAGCCTGTACTCAAGAATGTTGAGTACTTTATCTAATACAACACAAAATGTCGATTGGCCATATTCATATTTAAATACTGAAGTTMTTTCCAATGCAATGTTGATAACTGGCTTTAGCTAAGAAACTTAGATATGCAGCAAGTTTTAGTTTTGGAGAAAGACAACCTTGTCTTTTGTCATTTTCAAATTCATTTTCGGACTTCCCCAAATTGTATATAAATGCCCTTTTGTTTATCCGATGATGGACTTCTTATGTACATACGTACACATGTGAATAAAAAATAGGGTTTTTAGCTTAAATAGTTCAACTCACTTATAGTCATCCATTTCCAACACGTCTACTGAAATATTCCTCAAATATTCAATATATTCGCCTACGACGAATGACATTATTTTGATCATCACTATCACTTAAATATAATATAATTGTATACATTTTAAATATTTGTATAAACGAACCAACAAGCTAAGACTATTTAATTTTTCMAACTTGTCAAATTTGATGATAACACAATTTACTAATGGTTTTATCAGATTGTCGASGGTATCAATGATCGCATGAACATTTTCTGTCGAAATTTCTTTCCGAACCAATAATTTATATCAAACAAACAACACTTGATCGCGACAAACAACTATCTCCGAATGCCTTTTCCGACATTCTGAATATTTTGACACCAAAAATTTGATTGAGCACACAAGATTTAATTAAAATTCTTTCTTGAATAAGTTCACTCATCGTAAACATCGACGAATGTACTTTATGAACTTCATATAGACAAACGTATGATTATTTTCATATCATTGACAGTCAGAATAATACAAAAAAATTTTCGAAGACTGGGTTTTCGCGCGAAATTTAAATTAAAAGGCAACGTAGTAGTAGTATATTAGCAAGTAGTATATTATATTCAATATAAATATATCTAGCATGTGGTAAAATATTCAAATAAAACTAATTGCAGCGTATTATGATGAAACAAAAGTTAAAAGCCGAACACTGAATTTTCACTCTATAGGTGTTATAAGCAATTAGTTAATATTGAGTATAGTATTTAATATGAACTCTCCTTTTGAATCATAATTTGGACAGCGATTTTATATAAGTAGGTAGTATTTTATATAAATAGGTAGTATTGTTTAATTTTAATTAAGTTTTACGTCTAATTGCAAGATTTCTTTGACTATCTTTATTGTTCAAGAGTGCTGGTTTTCACGGCGACATTAGCAATGGCGAAAAGATGGTCAGTTCGCTTGTTTTGTGAGATACCGGCCTTAATTTAATGCGACATTGATTTAATCTTGCTACGTTGTATTTTTCAATCTTTTGATAGTCTATAAATTCATAAGCTTCTAAGGAGAAAAATAATATTATAGGAAAATAATATTTTGCACATATTTTAATCCGCATCTTCTCTTATATTTACAGATACCGAACCATACAAAACCTTATTCAGTGAAGCACGCTGGAACGATCTTGTTTTAAATTTTCGAAATGAAAACTATCGTTTATTTCAACTATCAACTCAGTCTTTACTCAGTGTTGCAATACAAGTGAGGGCGAAGAATAATATTTAAAAATATATTAATTTTATTTTTTTTATTTTGGTGTTTCTTTAGGCTGGATTGTCATCATTAAAAACACCACAATGTTATTCTCCAAACTGTAAAAATCCTCATTGCCCTGTTTGTCAAGAAGATTTCAATAAAATCGCTAGGAATTTGCCATATTCACATTGTGTTCAGAGTCGCCTAATTTGCAGGTAAGACACCTACGGCCATGACATCATTGTAATTGCACAAAATTTATTTTACCATACAAAGCTTATAGTTATTAATAATTTTAAAAGGAAAATAATATTTGAGCGTGGATCTTGGAACACATTCTTATTTATTATTTAGCAGTTGCGTAAGACTTGATTACATTTTCTCCTAACGTGAGAACTATTTTATGAATTGTCATGAAATTTTGACAGAATTCTAGACGAGATTTTTTAAAAGTTCATAGTTATTTTTTTTATAAGTGGTTTTTGAAACATCTTCGCACATCCTTATATTAGACAAAGCCGAGACAGTATAACGATCATATACATGTACGTATTAAGCTGTATATTTAAAAGCAACCCTATGTCGTGTGACAATACACAATATACAATGACAATATTGTCAGCTCAACGAATGTCTTAATTTTTCTCCCACTAGCGGTAAGAGCTTAAAGACTTCATTCAGTTTAAACAATTGGTTCTTCGGGACTGTCAAAGAGCTGAGCCAAAAATTAAAGTAATGTTTTATCAAACAGCCAAAAATAAAAATTCTAGTTAAGAAAAAAGGCAATTAACAACATTGGTCCATGAAGTCAAAAAAGAAGTTGACCCAAATAAATATTTATGTAAGCCGGAATAGCAAAGACTAYCTGTCTATATACAGTATGAAACCTCCAACAACTGGATACTGACAGTTCCACAATTTTTGTCCGCTTGGGTATGTTATTAAAATATATACATATGTACATTCCTTTAGAATACTTGGTAATTTAGTTCTTATATTTAATTTATATTCTGAGATGGCTCGTATTTATAATAAATTAGTTTGTCTAAATACATATCTATTTATCAGTGCTTGAGTTTTCGACTTCTTTGACCATAGTTTGCAAACTTATATAAAATTTTTGAAATGACATTGAATGAATTTCGGTATAAATGGGGTATGTACGAATAGGGGAGAAGGACAGGCAAAAATAATGTTGCTAACAATGTTTCACTAAATTTCATATTTTTCACTTTGCATATTTAAATATACACTCTAAACATTGAAATAAGTTCRTATTTCGCTATTATTTTGTTATATTTCAGCTATATTTATTATTATACTTATTAATTTAAAAATCACCAAAACAGCACACTCATCGGTGAAAAGGTTAGATTGTTTACAATTATGAGAAAAACGAGCATTGCCACATCTTAAACACCAAATATGTAGGATTTTCAACGATTTTTCTATGTTTGTATTTTCGCGTGATACTTTCCAACATTTTTCAAGGTATAATTGAGTTGTGAACATTTCTTTATTATACACATGTATACAAGGTGCGTTCCAAAGTAAACATGATTTTTTGAATCTAGCTAGAAACTGCTATCTTAATCGATTGTTTAGTGAAAATTTCATGGCATTTTTGGCAATTTGTCTCATCTATCGACGCTTGTTACCGATTATTTGACCAAAAATCACATTTTAACCATTAAGCACTCACCGTATTTACCTGATATGGCACCGTGCGACTTTTTCATTTTAAGAACAATGCATTTTAATATGAAAGGAAAGCGTTATCCAGACGTAGAAGCCATTCAAAAGGCTTGCACCGGCATACTGGCGGCCGTACCGCCCAACGAGCTAGTTAATTTTTAACATAAGTAAAAATGAGTCAAAAGAATATAAAGAAATGTCTACTCTTTATTTATACTCTTAATATTAACTTATTACATGGTTCTTACTTCTATTTATACTAACTAGTATGTTTACTTATTACTAGTTGATAGTTTCTTTAAATACAGATTATATTT